CTAAATTAGTCTCTGCAGTTTTCTGCCAAGATTTTTCAAAATCCGGCTCAGCCCAGGTCAGCAGAACTTAACAGGACACATTAAAGCACAAAACAAAACAACACTGATGATAATTTAAAAGAATATGTTCACTAAAAGCATAGTAATACCACTCCTAAAGGCCAATCAGTTGTAGAGAAAGTGCATTCTAAAATTGTAGCTCTGGAGCCAATATATTTCATAATTTGGGAGCAATCAATGTTAGCTTCCAAATTTTGGTTGACAAGACAAAACCCCAAAGCACAGTTAAACATTAGTTTTGATAAGAAACAGTCTATTCAAGCTTCAAGTTTGTTCCCTATAATAGGACAAGTGGAGTCACGTACTTTTATATTTATTTGTCGATTCTCTCTCCACTGTCACCACCATCCATTTTAGCTTTACATACACTATTGATAAGTCACCAATAAGCATTCAAGTATCCAAAAAAATAAAAACAAAAATTTTCTTGCAACATTTCTTGTTGTAAATATACCGTATTTTTCAGAGTATAAGATGCACCGGAGCATAAGACGCACCAAGATTTTGAAGAGGCAAATTAAAAAAAAAAGTTTGTGCACTCTGCAGACCTCCCAAAAATGGCCCGTTTTTCGTAAAAAAAAAAAGGGCATGTATAGCCTTTAGGAGGCTTGTAGAGTGCTCCTGGGTGCTGAGAGGGGCCAAAAATGACCAAAAACCGATGGTTTTGCGCTCATTTTTGTCCTCCCCAGCCCCCAGGAGCACTCTGGAAGCCTCCTTACAAAGGAGGCGGGGTTTCGGGAGGCCAAAAATGCTGTATTCAGTGTATAAGACGCACCCAGACTTTCACCGTTTTTTTAGGGAAAAGGTGCATCTTATACTCCCCAAAATATGGTAATTGTGTGACACACATACGCACACATGCAGGACCATTTAATTTTCAGGATGCCAAACGTATCATTACAGATTATTCAATTATTTTCTTGCAGATTGAATAAAATGTGATTTCAATCTTTTCTTGCTATTGTGTTTCTCTCTTTTACTAGGTCTAAGAAGAATTTTGTGTGAAAATGGCATCGACAAATGTTACACATAGTCCTTTTGTGGAACTAGATGGTAATAATAACATTTTAAATTTATGTAATCTTAGCAATTATAAAATTCTAATTAGGGAAGCTATTTAATTCTAGAAAATGCATATCAAGAGATTTAGTAGGGAAGGAATCTGGGAAGAGTGACACATTGTTGGTGGGTTCTTCATATTTATAGAGACTAAAATAAACCCTAATGAAACAATTAACTATATGGGAGGAATGAATTGAATTGGTAGGTTAAGAAGCTGTATAGTGTATGGATGTCTCATAGGCAAAGGAGACTGTGATTCTCTAAACCTGGTGCTTCAGTATGGTCTTGGAGACCTAGAATGCTTTATGACTTCAAGGATACATGCCCACTTGAAAAATAAAGGACTAATCTTCGTCTCTAAACTATTTTTTTTGCTTTTAAATAAAATAGTTTCTGTTTATTTCTAACACTGTTTGTCTGACTTACAACTGGTCATTTAGCAACAGTCTGAAGTTACAAGAGACCTCCCCAGGGCTAATTATGATCTGGATTCAAAATTCCAATGCCCGGGGAAAGCCATCATGTGACTGCATTTTGGGTGCTTGACAATTAGCCAGGGCATCATCCTACAGTCACATAAGCACAATTTATTACTTTTTTTCTTTGACCAGAGATTGACATTTACTTCCAGTTTCCGGCAAAAAATACCCTTTTTGCAAATAGTAGATATTTAATGACTTTAGCTTTATGTCCCCCACTTTCACTTAGCAACTGCTTCAAAGAAGTAAAAAACAATCAGTTGTGGTAGCATGGTGACCCCCTTAATGATCAGCATGACTGTAATTCAAGGATTATCGGTATATATAGTGGCCTCAGCTTTTTGAAGTGTATATATATTTCTACTACAGATGCTTTTATTGCTTTTTAATTATCCCACTTGTTCACTGATTCCACAAATATTCCACGTCATCACTTTGATATACTCTTAGAGGGAATCAGTGCTGGAGAAGAGAAAGAGGGAAAATATAACTTTTTTTCAACTTCTTGGATTTCCAGTCCTTTTGTCAAACTGTTGTCAGGGTTCCAAGTAACACTCCTAGGTTTGAGTTTCCTCAAAGTTCCATTTTATTAGAGATGCCATATGGGCGCATCTGGGAAAAGCGGAATCTGAAAGCTTTCAGGTTTTCCCCACCCAAAAGAAAGTTCAAGTCCCTGCCCAGCACCTACATGTCCATCACGTGGTCCAATCAGGCACCGTCCAAAATTGGAGATGCCTCCCGGTCATCTTATCGCAGCTACCGGGCAAGGTGGCCTTGACTCTCTGAGAAAGAATGTTATTTAGACTATATATCTCCCATGCTCCATATAATCCCCCCTCCCATCTTCCCAAAGTAGAAAATGTGGCAGGCCTGAAGGCCCCATCCTCTTCCTTCAGTTCCTTAACTCAGTGGTCTCCAACCTTGGCAACTTTAAGACCTGTGGACTTCAACTCCCAGAGTTCCCAGAGTTCCTCAGCCAGCAAAGCTCTGGGAGTTGAAGTCCACAGGTCTTAAAGTTGCCAAGGTTGGAGACCACTGCCTTAACTGACCCAGAATATCTAGTCCCCATAGCACAAATACCACCTCCAGCGATGTCCAGCATCCACCACCAACATACTCCACAGCCTAAGAAATCTATTCCTTTCTATATTTTCACTAAAAGACAGACATGATTGATCTCAGCTTTCTCAGTTAGGAAGAAAACTTCTCAGTGTTTGTGTGACCCTATGCACTGTGCCGGCAAACAAGAACGAAACACTCTTTGACACTGAGACCATTTTATAACTCCACTCATCTCACTCTGGCGCAGGAGCTCTGCTGGAGATGCTGCTATACTTTCTTAGCAGTATGGTCAGTGATGAGAGATGCCTAGAATAATTGCTCAACAGTATCTGGGGGGACTAATCGGGATGGAATTCTACCGGTTTGGACCGGTTCGGGTGAACTGGTAGCTCCAGCGATCAGCTGGGAGCGAACCAGTGTGCTCTGACGATCAAGTGGGCCCGCCTGCCCACCCCTCTGCTTTACTTACCTATATCTTCCGCTAGAGCAGAGAACATGGGGATATATGAGGAAGTGCACTGTTATATTATGACACAACTTTTTATGTATTATAAAAATTATAATTATAATATAATTTATATTATGTTGATATCAACAGATAAGTATTATCTGTTGGTGTTTAAGAAGCTGAAAAACAGACTAACATAGATGACTACCTGGGAATAACTTGGTTTATGTGTCCATGTTTATCTGTTACACATTCTAACCCAGTAATACAAAACTGCTGTTGCCTGTTGTTAGTACTGACATTTTGAAGTGTACTAAAATATTTTTCTTTAATATTGTCCATCAGAAGAATACAGGCAAAAAACTCCTTTTGAAAGGTTGAACACTGAAATCTACCTTTACCGAGATATTGAATGCACAGAGAAAGAAATTGTAAGTATTCTACTGGTCAGATATTGCTAACTACAATGCCTTCTTGGCCTCTTTGTTTGGATCAGTTTCACATATCCTGTTAAATCATAGTTTGCTTTATACTCACCCACCCGTCTCCCCCAAAGGTAAGGGCAGTCTCCTAGACAAACCAAAGTCATTATGGCTTCTTACTAATAAGGAATAATACTAATGACTAATAGCAATTATAATTTACACAATGAAAAATCAACAATTTAAAATAAGACAGTAATAACAATAATACAAATAATTATAAATACAAACCAGAACTTTCGTATGTTTTAAACATTCATTTTGGACAACCAAAAGAGAAAGGACTGCTTCTTTCTTTGGAGCCAAATAAAGAAAGTATCATATATTGTTGCTAACAGAGCTCCTTAAATCAAGTTTCTTGCTGCCTCCTCCTCCTCCTCCATCATTTTTTATTATCTTTCTCCTTCTCTGCTCCTTTTACGTCAGTGAATTATTGGAAATAATTATTATTGCAAACAACTATATGGAGATTCAACTGTAGTTTGAGAACATGAAGAAAACACATTAAATGAATCCCAGAGCACTTATCTTGGCTACCATTTAGTTTCTCATTTAACTGGAATTCCAATAATTTACTTTCAAATTTCATACAACTATAGTATACATTCAAAATATAGAGGACAACCTGCAGAACCAATAAAACTTGTCTTAAAGGATTTTCTTTAAAAATTCCTTTTCCTGATTCTCCATACCATTCTCCATCCCCATGCATGTAGAGTTGGGGATAACAAAATATGTGGACTTTTAAAAGAAAAGACTGGTAGAGCTATAGGAATATTTGGATGCACTTTTATTATGTTTATACATTGTGTTTAATTTTAAGCCACCTTGGAAATAAAATCTTTACTATGATCATAGACCAGCCTTGAGAAAGTTATGAATTTGGAAGGCAGTTAGGAAATGCATTATATAGTAAAAAAACTAGACAATAAATATGGATTCCAATTTTAGATTAGAAAAACGAAGCAGACTGTGAAGGCATATCAAAGGAGTACCATTTCCTCAAGAGCCCGGTGTCGAAAAGCTTTGAGAAAACTAGAAGAAGTCACCGAACAAGAAACAACAGAAACAATGGGAAAGGATCTTCCTGCTCTGAATTGGGCTCTTGCTTTTGCAAAGTGTGAGTAAACATTTTAGAGAAATAATAGACTGCAGGAACACTGTGGAATTTTGTGGTTTTTTACAATCTTGGTTGAGGTGGCTCAGTGGCTAAGATGCTGAGCTTGTTGATCAGAAAGGTCTGCAGTTCAGTGGTTCAAATCCCTAGTATAGATTTCCTGCATGACCAGGGGGTTAGACTAGATGATCTCCAAGGTCCCTTCCAACTCTGTTACTGTTAATATCGATAGATGTTGAGCACTTGAATTAAGTATCCCATTATTGCCTCTTTTCTCTAAAATGTTTCTGATTGGTTCAGGATCTTCTGATCAGCTTAGTGGTTTCTAATATGCAATAACATCATTGCTGTTTTCCCATTCCGGTATTTTTGCCCAAATGCTCTTAACTGCATTCCTGTGCCTCAGTCCCTGGATCTCAAAAATGTGTGAACGTCTATCACATTTAATGTCACTCCTGCCCCCCTTTGTCTGGCCTACTCTTTGGAGTAAGTGGTAGCCTTCAATCCTTGCATTCCACCCATGAGTTTTATATTATCCCACCAGGTATTAGTACAGGTAGTCCTTACATTGTTGCCTCACGACCACAACTTCCACCCCAAAGTCATTAAGTGAGTCATGCACTTTTTTGCCAAGGTCATTCAGGGAATCCAGCTTCCCACTTTGGTTTTGCTTATCAGGGTCCCTGGGAAGGTTATGAATGAAAATCTTATGACATCTGGGCACTGCAAACTTCGAAAATACATGCCAGTTGTCAATTTTGATCATATGATTTCAGAATCACTGTGATGAACCACAGTCATTAAACTAATAGCAATCGCACTTAGCAATAGCACTTAGCCTTATATACCGCTTTACAGTGCTCTGCAGTCTCTCTAAGCGGTTTACAGAGTCAGCATATTGCCCCCAATGTGCTGGTCATAAATTGCCCCCAATTGGATGGTCATAAATTGCCCCCAATATAATGGTCATAAATTGAGGATTATCTGTAATGCTTACTATCATTAAGTTGTTCCTGTTTGTTCTTCATAGCTCTAATTATATAAAGACTTGGGAAACCTTGAATCATAGAACATGGGGAGTTCCTTTCAACTTATAACTAGGTTGGTGCCTTCAGAACCTGCATGTTACTCTCAGCAGTGAAATCACACTATTTTCTGGGGTGAGTTTTTTTCTCACCCCTCACTCATTCCATACGGGTAACAGTAATTTTAATATAATCCGTATAAAGGGTGTAAGTTATATTCCAAACACATTTTCCCAAGCCTCATCCAGCTGTGCTGAAAAATCAACAGGGACCTTCTGAAATCTATTCTAAAGATAAAAAGAGAAAAAAACAGTTCTTATTTGGTAGATTTGTTTTCTTCTTGTCTTTAGGAAACTATGAAATCTGATGGCTCATCTCTGGCATATTCCTCAAAAGAGGAAAATAAATCTTGCTTTTGTGGAATATTCTATATTGTCATCTGCAAAATGGGTGTTTTAGAGTCGTTTGCTTGAACTGCTCTGTAAAACTCTTCTTGGCTCACTAACTAAACTTACTGAATTCTTAACTTTGGCTTTATTTCTAGCATAGTTTCCTTATCCTTTGGTTTGACATTATACAACTTTAGTTTAATATTTAGTTAATATTTCAATTTTTAAAATGTTGATTTAATTGTGTTAAGTCATCAATAACATATAGCTTGTTTTAAAAATATAAGATGCAGAATATCAGGAGAAAAAAATCACAATTTTTTTTTTTTTTAAAGGTTGTCAAAGTGACAAACAGTCTATAGCAGATTACATCAGTGAAGAGAAGGAGCTATTTCTATTGGAGGTAACAGTTTTTATAAACCTTATAAAAATACTAGTATATGTGTTTCCACGGGCATTCTAGAAAACTTTCAAGATTTAGCTATTCTCCTAGTTCTCAAGTTAGGTTGGTTGGAACTCCTGTTGAATTGTGTGTGGCTGTAGATAGTTGGATCTTTTATTTTTTATTTTTATCATTCTTGCATTCTGTTTAATGTTGTTGGCTTTATTGTACGCTAGACTATGTTGGAGGTAGGCAGTGTCAGGCCCAATTTTATCTTTTTTGAATGGTCATTAAGCAGATGCTCTAGTTGTTAAGCAACAGAACAGTTGTTAAACAAATCTATTTTATCCAAAGATATTTTTTGTTCAAAACCAAAATAGCCTAAAACTGGCAAAAAACAAAGCCACCAAAAATCTCAGCCATAAATGCGACCTGGTTACCAAGCGACCAAAATGCAGTCACATGACCATGGCGGGGGGGGGGGAATGTGGCTGTCAGAACTCTGAAATTGGCTCAGAAGTTCCTTTTTGGGAGATTCATTGTAACTTTGACTGGTCATTAAATGATTGGTTGCTAAGTGAAGACTACCTGTATGAAAAGTTTCAGATCTATATTATTTTATTAGAATATTTTAAGGTGACTTGAACATATAGCAGTTCTCAACACGGCATATGCTCATTGGCTCCAGGCCTTTGCAGAGCCTTCCCTTCCCATCTTCCCCTGCCGCTTTTCAGTCACTGGCAATGTCCTTGCCTGTTTCAAATTGTCTCTATGCCCACTGCAACTACCGGTATCTTCCAATATCCAGAACAGAGCAGCCCAACTTATTTTCATACGCAGACCAAACAAACAGATTATAGCACACAAGCTACCTGAAACCAGATTTGTCATGTACTGACTTATATGTGCAATCTTACACATCTTTTGTGCAATGGCATAATCATTAGGCTAAGGAAAAAGTGGGTCACAGCTGATGAATAAAAGTGGACTTTGCTAGAATACAAAAAAACCCCACACCTGTGGCGAAAAGATCCAGTTTGGAGAGCTGAAACAGGAAAATAATCATAGGCTGTTAAGAAAAGCTATAGTAGTTTGAAGACAAGCTACAGCTGATACAAAGAGAATAGAAGAAAGAATCCTGACACTTGTAGGAAGATTTCATTAAATGGTATGTGAATGAACAAATTAGTCCACTTTATTTGTTACAGAATCAAGAAAAGGATATGATGGACTGCTAGTTAATAATGCAATTTCAAGATTTTATACACGTTATAAAAAAAATAGAACACACATTGTATGCTAGCTCACATTTCTGAATCTATTATGTAGCAGTAAATGGTATTCATAATTTTCAAAATGGAGAAAGGTGATGCAAGTGTGGGAAATGATCGCAGGGTCGTAATTTGGGGAAAGTGATCAATGGCTTGACAGGAATGTATAGTCTTGTCTCTCCCACACAGATACACAGGAAATCCAAGTCACTATTTTAAAACTAGATTACCTAAATATAGGATTTAGGTAATCAATATCTGAGTCTTAAGAAAAACACAGCAATATTTGATCAAGTTCTTTTCAAATGGCTCAGTGTCAGAGAAGTGCATGGGAATGGTTTGGTTATGACAAGTTGCTGTGCATTAAGATGTTTTTTATATAACATTTTGCTATTGTGCTCTTTCTCCAGTACTCTGTTAAAATAAAACAGCGGACCATGACAAAGCTGGAGAAGATGGCAGCAAAGGAGGAGAGGAGGGCCAGAATTGCTGAAATAAAATTAGAAGACGATACCCTTGCATTTGAGGAGTTTCTCAGACGAAATGATAGGAGCTCTGTAGAAGCCCTTAAATTGTTAGTTACAATTTTGTTTTAACTTTACAGCTGACTGTAGTGGCCACATTTGGAGTGTGACTTCAAAGATTCATTGTCTGGTTTCCTCTTCTGTTCTCCCAAATGAAAAAGCTGTGAAAGAGTCATTGCAAAAAATGGGCACTCTCTCTCCTACCTAAATGCTTTCCTTTTCTCTCTGCTAGATGTGTTTATTGGGTTTTAGACGTTTTTAGGCAATGGGTCATCCTTGGTTTTTGAATGGTGTCATGGGGGGTCACATTCTAAAATATTAATGCTCAAGAAAAAGCAGTGTGTTAGACCAGCCATAAGTTTGATTTAATTTAGCTTATATTACATTGAATAAAAATAAATATTATGAAATAATGTCTATGATTACTCTCCCGAACATTAATAATGTCCCCATGTCACATTATAAACATCGTAATTCAGCAGCTTTTGCAGGAGTTTAAGGAGCCAAACACAAGGCATTCAGGAACTGAACATTCCTGTGTTAGATCTCAGATGTAATACTTCATAATCGCAGCTAAAGGTTTAAGAACTAATTGGAACTAACAATAAACTAATTCAGTTTTAGAACAGAATTCTATTACAAGTAAAGTAAAGAAACTGTTTCTGTAGATGAGATTTCACTGTTTACTTTATCACACACAAAAGGAATGGGGAATTTCCAAACATTCCTGAACAATTCCTTATTATAAGAAGAAGCTGATATTAATTAGGATTCAGTTACCATACAATTTCCTTTAGACAAAAGGGTTTACATCAGTGATAGTCAATCTGGTCCCTATTGCCCACTAGTGGGCGTTCCAGCTTTCATGATGGGCGGTAACTCTGCTTTATAAATTTTATAAAGTAAAGTTACTTCCCTACTTTATAAATCACCATTACTGTGGAATTGGTGGGCGGTTAGAAAATTTTACTACTAACAGAGATACAAAAGTGGGCGGTAGGTATAAACAGGTTGACTACCCCTGGTTTACATCAATGGAAATTTTATTGTGTTTTTCATTTTCAGTATTTTCAAGTAATAATAATTGCTGAATGTCACATTGGTTTTTTTTCCACATAGACGAAAAATAAGTTTGATTGTTTTTTCTTAAGTTTTCTTTAAAATTATTCTCAAGTTATTTTATAATTAAGTTTTTGGATTGCCAATAGTGTATACAACTATAGTCTCTTACTACTAATTGAAGAGACAAAAATGCCTTTTCCTTCTTGATTTAAGAAATATAAACTGCATCTGTATAACTATTTCAATATTTGGAATTGGCAAGATTTTGGAAGTTGTTTGCTACTGCATCCCAAGGCAGAGAGAAACAACTGGTCCAAGGTCACCCAACTGGCTTCATACCTAAAATGATACTAAAACTCACAGTCTTCTAATTTCTAGTCTGGTGGCTTAGCTGCTGCATCAGATTGACTCTCTGTTTCAATATGAATATCTCTGTATTAATATGCAGCCTTTTTCTAGGGCAACTCAAGAAGCAAAATACAAAATGGAAATAACAACAGAACTGAGGATAGCAATGAATGAAATGTTCTCCCTTAAAAGGTTAACTCTTTATTGTTGCTTGTTGCTTTCCTTCCTTATGGGAAGGAATCTTGATGATGTTATTCTTAATATATTTTTCTATGATGCAACATCTTCTTGCTCCATGAAGTTGCATTTCAAGTACCAGATACCTACACAAGGGTCTTTATACATCTGTCCTATGACAGGCACCAAATGGTCCAGCTCAAAAATCATTCAAATGTACACTATTTATACCATGGACAACTGAGAAGTGACAGCTGAGATTTAGAAAGCTGAATCTTTAGAACTATGAAATAAATAGAAAATTGAGTAGATGTTCTTATTAAGCCCAAGTTAATATTTTCTATTCTTTTTATGAAGCATAATTGTTCTTTTTTAAAATTTCTAAACAAGTTCACAGATGTTGGGGATAAAGGACAGACAGTTTCTTGATAAAATAATCTTCCCCAAATTAATGTAATTTTGAAAAACCGTGTTGCCCAGACATAGCACAAGTAGCTCCAATACTAACAAGAATGATTATAAAACCACATATTGTAATTCAGGGAAAATGCTTTACTCAGCTTTTTCAGGTATTTGTTAAATGTCTGTTTGGCATTGCACATCTGTAATATCTTGTATCCCTTGTTCTCCTTTGACGTGCAGTGAAATTGCAAACACTGAAGACCTTTTGAAGCATTTTTTGTCCTATGAAGCCTTTTTGTTTAGTATTTCTCCCAAAGCATGGCAAGAGCAGCAGATAGCAAAGAGGAAGAAAGAGCGGAAAAGAAGCCCATCAAAACCCCTTATTTCTTTCCCACAAGCTGCTGATAAAGCCAAACTACTTTCAGCCTCCATTTTAATACCAACAAGTAAAACAAGTAAGTACACAGTTTTCATTTGTCCATTGATCATTTAAAATACAGTGTGGGGGAATACTGCTGTAATCATTCTAGCAAGCACATCAACTAGGAATCTTGAGTGATGCAAGGCTAACATATCTGGAATAAACTAAATTGAAAATATATAAAGGACAATATATGCAGTGGAAGCAGAAAGTTTTAATGTATGTAAAAAAAGGGGACGAAGCATTGAATTTCCATTAGTGAGATTGCCTGGTGAATAAAGTTTCTAAATAACTGGAGGAATTTAGCATATTTCCTCTATGATACTTTTAATATATCCCCATCTCCTGCTTTATTTTTGCATAAAGTAACTTAGACATGTGTCACTTTGACTGATTCATTTGTAATAATTATGATCCATGAGGCACAGCTTACTGGAGTGGGATAATTGCCCTGCACTGGTTGTACCTGAAAGCAGTGGTATATCCAATTCCAAAGGCATCATTTATGCTTATGTTACTTAATTGAGTAGTAAAACAACTGTGTGAAAACAACTATGCTCAGAGAGCACCCTGGGTCCACAATAAGTGAACTATTTAAAAAAACTGAAGAAAGAAAAAATATTGTCTTCTTCACAAAAGAAAAAATGGAGGATTCAGGAAATTTTTGGATTAGTCAATCTGGCATCACTATCTGAGCAGGTTCCAGAGGAGGAAATCATAAAATGGAAACATTATATGAATCAAAATTTGTCAAGACCAAGTCTTAGCAGACTAAATTTATTGTAAAAGTTAGGTTAGATTGTATAACAATTAAATGTGTACAATGTGATTCAAAAATTGTATTCAAAGAGCACTCATGAAAAATCTTAATTCAACAAGAGAGTTATAATTCTAATAGATGTCTTTGGCATGTCTAGTAGAATTGTGTATTCTCTTATTGAATAGTAAAAAAGCACTCTTAGGTTAGTCCTGAACTATATTGGTTTCATGATTGCTTTTGGGGTACATTTTTAATAGAAATTTTATCTAGGTATGCCAAGCTATTATACTATAAACCTGGAGGGAGAAAACAATGTCCTAAAAGAAAAAAAAATGTATTTGGTATAAATATATTTTGTCATATCCCAAAAGATGGGGGGAAAAAAACAGTTCATGCAGGAAGAAATATTATGAAGTATATACTCTATTATTTTAGGTCCTAATAATGTTTATAGTGAAATGACTGTAGTGAAATATTTATATAGTGAAATTGTCAGTCCTGTTTCTAGAATAATTGCCCTCTCTTTGGCCCTGACCCATCTGTCCAGCAATGGGATTCCCTACCGGTTCGCAAATGTGAGTGCACATGCCGCTTCTGCACATGCGCATTACCTTCTGCGTATGTACAGTTCCTGTGCATTACATCGGGGTGGGTGGGTGGAGCCTCCCACAGCCACCGCTACTGGTTTGCCTGAACCGGAGATAACCGATTCCCTAGCACCTCTGCATCTGTCCTTCTGGAAAGCATTTAGAACTATTTTTTAAAAGAGGCTCTGAGACAGGATCATGTGTGATCTCGTTTAAATATTTAGAATATTTGTGTATTTCTCCAGGTTGCTATTTGCTTCAGTGTTTTAAAATGAAGTTTTAACCAACTGTAAAACTTGGAGTAAAGTTTGAATAGATAACTTTACAATTTAAATAAATAATTTGTAGTGGCATTACATCAAGATTAGGGAAAACTCTAAGAGCATAATTGTTCTGTTGATATAGGATGAAAATAATGTATCAGCATTCTCTTTTGCTGCATCCTTAGTCTTAGTGTTATTGATTTCCCTAGGCTTCCTGCATTATAATTCATTCTCCAGTCCCATGACTTGGCCATTTTCTTTGACAACACTTTATATCAGTTGCAGATTGTTTCCACTTCCTATCAAAGGTAGCCTTGTTTGGATAATGGCAGTAAGGGTTAATAGAGTTGATGACTTGTTTATGTTTTGTTCTTTTTACAAATATGTGACTCTTGTGTTATCTGGCTACTGCTTTTAGGCAAAGTGACACATCATAAAGGGCCGCAGCCTGCCAAGAAAGTGATAGTCGATAAATCAGTCTCAGGCGCCTTAGGCCATCCTGAGGAAAAGGGACAACTTCCAAATAGCCAAGGTAAGGAATAAGGAAGACATTTGAAAGAAAGGAGTCTGGGCTTTGGGGTGAGATGTTATGGCTGATTAGATATCTCTATAAGCAGCTCATCAAGTGGAAACAGCACGGTCGTTCAGTTGCCAATCGAGAGTTGGTTCTGGTGACAGAAAATGTCTCTGGAGGTAGGAGAAATCAGGGGATTGCCCACTTGTGCTCTGGAAGAGCTTCTCCTTAAAAAAAAAAAAAAAAAAGCATGCAGCAATTTAGTTTCTTAGTTTCTTTAGTGATCAATTGTGAGTCCACTAATTGGGAAGTAATGGATTTACAATTTGCCCTGAATTGCTGTACAGCTTTTTTATGGACATTTGAATGGCAAAAAGTTCACGTTTTTAATCACTTTACAATTCAAGTAGTTTACAATCTAAGAAACTAAGAAACTA